GCTAAAATTTGTTTCATCGCCATTTTATCTGTGGTAGCCATTGTTTTAATAACTATAACTAAAGCTGATGACAGAGATTGTAGAATATGACTAATATAAAAATGATTTAACAGTGATATATGGGAATGAGTAATTACTGATATGGTTATTTAAATCCACTAAAAATAGCAAACAGTAACTGATTATCTTGAAAAAATGATACATATTAAAATAAATGCATCTAGTTCTATAAGGAATTGATTTAGTTCTTAAGCTGTGATTTTAGTAGTCACTACTACTAATACTACCCACTACTATTGGCTGGTGTTGGCACTACCAGCATAGCAACATAATAAGACACGTGACAGAATAGCCAGTTTGTAATGAAAATCCCTAATTGTGAGTGAATCTTTGAGTAACAACATTGTTATTCATGAATTACAGACTCATGGCTAGTGATCTAATATAATATACAAAGTACTTACGCTTACGATTCATATTCTTTTTGTTTGAAGGACAAAATATAATATTCAGTTGAATGTTAACTGCTAATGATAATTGAGTGAAATTTAGTTTATTTAAACTAACTACTTTATATCTAAATTAGCGGAGTGGAACAGAAAAAATGAAACGCAACTATCCACTCGAGCGCCACGAAGCTGCTAAACTGTCGAGCTGCAGCTATTTGGCGGCTTTCGAAGCGAGCGAGGATGTAATTGTATTTTCATTCCGCCGAATTTTGATAAAAATATGAATTTGTCTATTTCTTATTAATTATATGATTCTTAAGAGAGATATACATTCAGCCGAGTGAATGAATTGAAAATAAAACTTAACTGTTGTTCATGGCAACTCCTAGCCATCATATTTTAATCAGTTTGAGCGTAATGACCCTTTGTATGTTAAAACTATGTCACACTACCGAAATATTGTCTGCGTCTCGATGAATGTGCCCTTTATCTCGCTAAGGACCCATTTTAAAACACATGTTGAGCCTTTGTGTTGAAATTAATGAGACCCCTATCAGACACTTAATATATAAATAAATGTGAAGCACGCCCGTCGTATATATAATTAATTACAGATATTTTAAATTAATTAATTAAGTGACTTAAGGGGCCGCTAAATATACTATCAAATTTACGAGACTTGAATGCGCATACAAATTACAGATAACGAACTACAACCCCACGCGGTACACCTTAGTGGCTGTTTCAAACTGAAATTTTCTAGGTTTGCCTTATACAGGGGCGCGCATATTACCATTCGTTCTTCTTTTGTTTTTAAAACTATATATTTTTCGCTTGATCACAATCGCGATGCTTTCGGCTTCCGCCGATTGCGCCATTCAATTAATCACATCTGACAGCATAACTGTATCAAAGGAACACAGATTGGAAGTAAAGGATTACAAAATATTTTCGTATTTACTTAGTACGTACAATCGAGTCTGATAAACTAGGTGGTACATCCTCCCGACTAAAGCCATTAGGCATACATACATGTCGGCGTCATTCGATCAATTATGACAGTAATGTGGACTTGCCGAATGACGTATATAAAAAAACAGGACTGAATAAACTGTGCGGTTGTGTTCCTTCTACCGATAAAAATAAACAACTGCCGGATTAACGGCCTCTTAAGATAAAATAATGTTAACATTAATGCATACATGGGTCTCTTCTCGGAAAAACTGTTTCAAGTTGATAATATCAAATGTGTTTAATTTATTTCGATGTTGAGCTATTCTGCCGTGGTTCTTTGTGAGTGTATAAATAAAATACACAACGTGAGTAGGTTCGTGTCTCGCAGTGTATCCCACATTCATTGGCAAATTGGCGGTACAAATTGGTTTGGATTTACTTTCGATATTCGTTACCGATATACCTACCATAAACCATACAATTTTAGAGAGGGCGACGGCTTTTGGACCACTTGCCCTCCCTCCAATACAAGTTTATTATTTTAAGAAATTAATTCAAACACTAAAATATTTTATTTGAAACTTGAATTTTATTCTCCTAAAGTTCTCCCAACACCCATGTCTTTTGATCGAGGTAATGTCTGCCTCATAATCAGCTAAAATTCTCAAAGAAGAGTATCTGAAACATTTTTTTATTTTGGAAAGGGACGGACGCCATTTTTTAGTCTGGTAATTCCATTAAGTGACATTTATGCGCAGTTTTAACGGTGCGGAACCTCAAACTGAACATCACAGTTCGAAAGGATCGAACGACAGAGTAAAGCCCGAGGTACATCACGGGTCAAAGACCTAGCAGTACTGTATTGTACAAAGATAAACAATATGAGGACCTACTGAAATAGGCCGATCAATAAATATATTGAGACAGTCAGACGGCCTTGCAGTAGTAAGTTCTTGAGAATTCCTGAAGAAGTGCTCCCACCTTTTTTAAGTAGGATCCTAATAGCACAGGAACAAGCAAGTAAAAAGGAAAAATTAATAAACTAAAGAGAAAGACATCATATTTGTCTAGATATATTCCTGAGACTCTCTCAGTCCTGCGAAACCATGGCACAAATACGGAAATGGGTCAGTAATCATTCAATTTTTTGCTTATTGAAATAAATTGTTCTTCAATACTGTTATTTCGGAAAATTAAATAAATAAAATTAGCTGATTTTGTCTCCACTTACATAAGTCGTTGTGAGTAATGTAATAGTTTAATAAATTACTATTTTTTGTATATTGCACTTGCCTGTATGTCATGAATAACGCGAATGTTACAAAGTGAGTAAACTTTCTTTGAAATTGATGAGATCGATAATAATTGATGAAGCAAATACCTAGATACTCTACTGTACAAGTAATGCACTATACAACACTTGACAGTTTACAAACATTTGGGTGGTAATCATTAAATCAACGCCATATGTCGGCTGATAATGTTTTGTTTCAGATAAACTTATTCAGTTTTAATGTACGTCTGACAGATTTCTTCGAAAGACCGATCGAAGCATACATGTTTTACATAATGTAACTGTTTTGTCTTGACGTCGTTTTTAGTTATTGCTGAAAACCATACATTTGCATGGCTACTTACTCAATTATTAAATTTATCTAGAAAAAAGTTAGAAAAGTCGAAAGAATTGGTGGGAAAACATTTTGCGCAGTTTTTATAATCCACAAAGGAAGAAAAAAGAAAGAATTAAAGATAAGCAATAGAACCAAGTTACAATTTAATATTTCGGAAAATATAAATTTTATAAATAAGTTCAGTAAAGTTATATGACTGCCACAACTGTCGAATGGTATACTAAGATTTGACATTGTATCTCCACAATGCTAAATAGAATGCTTATGTGAACTAAAAACTAAGATTCCGAGGTGTTTAATTTTTTTTCTCCAACATTAAGTTAATACTTCAACTTTTTGTCTTATCTTATCTTCTATGATTTTAAAAATCCTATTTATAAACTCTATTGATTGAACATCTGTTTATCATTGACTTTTAGATCGTGAGTTTCGGTGGTAAGATTGATCCATTGCAATATTGAATGTTGCAAAGAGATTGTGTAGGAAGTTAATTTAAAATTTGCGTCCGTTTATGAGTATCCAGAAAACAGTAAAGGACCAATCATTACATCTCTTACCCTTTCCGAGATCCCATATCCACTTCTTATTTGTGGAAGGGCGAAATGGGCGTTGACTATTAGACGCCTTCATTATAGCCATCCTTGTCTATCGCATGGATTTCTATGGCTTACTTTATCGCTCTCACGTAACTTCTGATAGACCATCGGTACTTTCCTACACTGTATAGACGCGAATAACCTTTATACCTACACGGTTCTGGAAGTCATCTGGAAAAAGCAGATGTTCGTAATCGATCATACCCGTCGTAAATTTAACAATCGTGTTCGCCAGGAATTAACCACAAATGAATTAGACGTCTGTATGTGAATTACTCCAGCAAATTTTATTCTTTGATGTATAATAAAAGAAGGTAGGAAAATGGTTCCATTACCATACATCGATATTTTATAAATGATAAGTTATGCGTCTTTAAAATGTCTATCTTCTATATCTTCTTTTACATTTATATTATCAAATTTTCCACTAATAAAAACGTTCACAATATTATTAACTAATATTTTTATATGCCAGTCATGGACATCAACTTGTTGGCTTCGCCCATCGCGTTTGAATAACTTTTCTTTTTTTTTTAAGATTAAGACTTTCGACTAGTAATAAATAACTCCTTACATCTTACTTTGGTAGATACTTCAAAAAAATCGTGTAGATCTAGAATCATGCACTCAAAAACCATAGAGTTTTGTGTGTGTTGTGATTTAACTCGAAGAAAATTAAGTCACGATGTAATTTTTATTTGGAAGTTGTTCATAACTATTTCTGATTAATTTAACTGATGATATCTGCTGATAGTCTAAAACTGAATTAGTGATAAAGTAAAAAACCAAAGCAAATCGTTAGTAAAGAGCTGAGTCTTCAAAATCAAGTAATTGTCATATTAACATATCTTTGTTTTTTATGTATTAAATAAATCAGACAAATATATGATAGTTTATGTGTTTTGTTGCCCATAAGTATTAGTCAGTATTAGTCAGCTGTAGATTGTTGGTCATAAATGGCATAAAGTTATACCAACTCATCTAATTTTTACTTATTGTCTTTACAGCTTCGTATTTATTATTTACCAGTAAGTATACTAATAAACTAACAGTTTGTGGAAGACAGTACTAAATAAAAACAAGTAATTTTTGTAAAAAGTACTAAGCAATTTAAATTTACTGCCAAAACATTGTTTTGGCTCGGTCGATCCCCAAGGAAAGGGGACATTATTTTTTCACGTCGCTTTACCGCGGATCTAACTCGACGTTATCAGTCGTGGATATCCACTCTACGTGGTCGTGCTTCCGCGACAAAGTCGCTCCAGTGAAGCCCTTGTCCCCGGGTGCATGCATGAGTAAACTGTTGTGTGTGTGGAAGGCCGGCGACACGCGAGCCCTTGTAGTAATATTGTGGGTGTTTCTCGTTCCAGATGAACTCGCTGGAGCACCATAGCAGCTGTGAGTGGTGACCTCGACTCCTTTGCCATGGGCAACAACTGTTGCTGCTGCGGCAGTAGAAGGTCCTCCCCGCCAGAGATCTTCCCCGGGAAGAACAAGACAGACAGTAAGCCGTTTTCCTTTTTGTTTTATTACTATTTTTTTTTATTCTTTCATAAGCGCTTTATTCTGACAATGTATTATTCGAGAAAAGAATCTATCACGAAGAAGCCGATTAATTTGTTTTGATTGCTATGTCTACTCTTACGATTTCTAAGCCAAATTTATGTTGATTGTATTCAAATAATAATTGTTATAATTTTAAATTTCTACACTCTACATCTTGAAATTTAGTGGGTTTAGATTCTTGAGTTTTGCTTTTCTGTTTTATCTAGCAAATTTGTTAAGGTAGTCAATAATGTTGTAGTTGGAAGTAAGAGATAATATCTGATCTAGTGAGCACTATTTTGCTAGTACCTGCATGACTGCGACATTACCCCTTTTAATAAGACGGTACCAAACGATCGTGTATGGTTACTCAATTAAACAGTTAAAATTAACGCTTTTTTCTCCTACATAACCATGCCGAGACAGGCCCGCGTTCAAACGACGTGACCAGGCCGAGCTGAAAATTAGCCTGTTTACTTTTTGCGACCCACGAACAGCTATCGGCACGGTTAGAACTCCGCTCGCAAGTTGTTATACAGGTTCGGAAAGTACCGATGGTCCATCTGCCGTTACGTGAGAGCGATGAAGTAAGACATAGAAATCCATGCGATAGAGAAGGATGGCTATAATGAAGGCGTCTCATAGTCACCCCCCGTTTCGCCCTTCCACAAATAAGATCCACTTCTTATTTGTGGAAAGGCGAAATGGGCGGTGACTATTAAACGCCTTCATTATAGCCATCTTTCTCTATCGCACGGATTTATATGACTTACTTTACCGCTCTCTCGTAACGGCAGATGGACCATCGGTACTTTTCGACCCTGTGGAAGTAACTGCTCAATTTTCTTCGTCTCTTTTTGATCCCGCTTGAAAATCTCTGCTGACACAGGTTCATTGAGTATTAGAGAATGCCTAATAGTCAGTTTCAAATTTTCGCTAATCTTTCTAACCAGAACCACGAACCACGCTGACAGTTTTGACAATAAAAGTAACTACACGAAATGTCAGAATAAGTTCGGAAGACGAAGATAGATTTTCGAAACGTTAACAGCTTTGTAGGATATTGATTAGAGGATTTTAAAAGGAACTACGACGTTCAAGATATTTTATTACATGAATCGTTCAAATGGTCATTTTAGATAAAAAAAAAACAGAGTGCTATTAAATTAGAGAGTGGAAATTGGAGATAGGGGTGAAAATGCACCCCTTTCAGTTTTTTAATTGTAGCTCGAATACGAAGCAAAATTTCGGTATAGTTCATAGGAAAAATTCTTTAGAGAATTGAATTTTCCATCGAAATGGCTTATTTAAAAAATTTAAAAGGAAAATTTTATGCAAAAAATCGTTAATAAACAATTTGAAAAAAAAAGCAAAAAATTCGATTTGTTGATTTTTTTTACTTTTTTGCCTCTAATTTTTTTTTGAGTATAGGTTAGGCATTGCTTCATAGAAAAAAAAGTAGATAATATTTTCTTCAAAACAAGAGGTTGTAAAGTATTTTTGGATGAAAATTGATTCATAAATGGCCGCCCAAACTTTGAACAAATTTTTCGATTTTCGTCGCGTTTTCCCTTATACGTTTTAATTCTCATTTTTTGCAAAAAGGAAGGAAATAAGACGTTCAAGGATTTTCATCAAATGACTTGTTCGAAGAGTCATTAAAAATAGCACGGGGTGCTATTAAATTAGAGGGTTGAAATTGAAGATAAGGGTGAAAATGCACGTTTTTTAAATATAGCACGAAAACGAAGCAAAATGTCGGTATAATTTATACCAAAAATTTTGTAGAGAATTAAATTTTCCATCGAAATGGCTTATTTAAAAAATGTAAAGAAATTTTATGCAAAAAATCGTTAATAAAGTTGTGAAAATTTTTATTTTATATTACATATTAACAAATAAAACTTTTGAAATAATTTTTTATTAAGTAAAGAACCAATTTGTTGTAAAAATAATAAGAATTATAATTATTATTATGTTAAAAACGATGAAAATCTAAAAAATATTAAAAATATTTAAGTTTGATCGGTTATAACTATCAATATTAGTCCAAAAATTTTTGAAAACGCATCCTTCCGAAGGGGGTCAAAAAAGTAAAAAAAATCAAAAAAATCTTATTTTTTGCTATTTTTTTTAATTGTTTATTAACGATTTTTTGCATAAAATTTTTCTTTTAAATTTTTTAAAGAAGCCATTTCGATGGGAAGTTCAATTCTCTACAAAATTTTTCCTATGAACTGTACCGAAATTTTACTTCGTTTTCGTGCTATATTAAAAAAACTGCAAAAGTGCATTTTTACCCCTATCTTCAATTTCAACCCCCTAATTCAGGGGTCGGCAACTGGCGGACCGCGGTCCAGATTCGGACCGTGGAAGGTAAAAAACTGGACTGCCAAAAATTATTTGAAAGTACAATTACTTATTATTTAAAAAAATATTTTTCTATGGATAACAATAGGTTTGAGTGACACCCTTATCGTTTTTAATGGTTAGTAGGTTAGTAAAAAAACTGACTCAAGACCGAAAATGTAATTCCTCCCGTTGATTTTTTAATACAAATATTCCTGTCTATTATATTTCGTATTATTTTGTGGATGCAAATTAAAATAAAAAATTAGTAAGGAATATGAGTGCTTTTTGGACCTCGTTAAAAATTTTCAAAAGTATCCGGACTCCACTTAAAATTACTTGCCGATCCCTGCTCTAATTCAATTCATATTACGAAAACTGTAATCAAGTTCTAATTCTAGCAATTTTGATTCGTTTGAAACCAAATGCTTTGCTGATTATTATTTTTCATCTTTTATATGATTTAATGCTATTTAAATGGTATAGAACTGGACCTGCAATGTTATTACACAACTGGCGACCTTGAAATGAACCATAGTGTTTTGGTTTGGAAATTTTCCTTTCCAGTATAGTGTATAATAAATTGTGATGAAATTACTTAATTACCTTTTGAAATAGATTTTTGGTCAGTCTACTAATTGTGTTCTTATTCTACCGTGCCGACTTGCCATAAATCAACTGCATACGAATATAAACAGACTAACAGTAATACAGAATTGAAAAAAATCTTTTAGATATTGAAGAAGAAGGAATTCACTTCAAGTTGTACTGTAAAAATCTAATATCTTAAAAGAGAAGCCCTTTGAAGCGTTTCTATATAACTGTTTGGAATTGTACTGTTGGAAAATATTCCTATTCTTTCTGGAGAATACTGTCCATTCTCATTTTGGTTTAATATAGATACAAAAGAAGAGTATTATGTTAAATGGAATTTGTTTTTTTAATAATTCTTGGATCCCTTTAAACTAAATATATTTGTTAGGTTACATTCCAACCAATTCGCTTTTATCTTTATTCAAGCAGTTAACGACAATTAGCTTTAATTCATATTTACTTGTGCTTTTTGTGCTTTTACTAAAATGGTGCCACTCGATCGTAATAAATAACGTATATTGCAGAATCGGAACGAACTGGATACTAGCTGTTGTAAAAGTAAAGTTTTTTATAGGTGTAATAACCCATCTCGCTTGTTTTCGTTGTTGTGTCTGGTTTCATTATTTTTTTATGAAAGGATAGCTCCAACGTCAACAAATGTTGAAGATTTGCGTTAAAAAAAACTTAATTATGTAGTCAGCCTAATGAATCTCCATTGTCTATGTGCATACACGTCAAAGATTTGTTAAAATTAACATATAACCAGAATTTTGACTCACACGTTCCAAGGAAGGGAACAAAAATTCGCTCAGGAAGCGCAAGTATATCCTTGAAATGTATTAAACATAAGAAATATTTTTTATGGTTCATGGTTAAGTTAAAGAAAGGTTTTAATTGTTGCTTAAATTATTCTAATGAATTGTCCACCTCCTTACAAGCTATGGAGTTTACTTCTCCATTTTTTTGCAATTTTAATCGGTGTACTAAAAAAGTTTCAGCAAAAGATTGTAGCCCATTCTCACTCGAGATTTTCCGACTGATTTTCCAACGAGAAAAGTCACTTTTATTTTGTACAGTATGTTTCAAATTAAACGTAGAATCTAAAAATGTTGTAAAATACAGGGTGTTCCATTTAAAAAAATGTAAGTTTGGTCAGTCACAAATTTTTAATTGTTTTTAAATATTTTTAAAATGTGCCCTGTTAGCGTACTTATCACCCTGTAGAAATAGTTTTTTTGATAAACTTTAGCAATTTGGAGTAAATCTAATTTAACCAATCGTTGACTCACCCTGTAATATAGCCAACAATGTACACCAAGTACTTGTGTTCGGTTTTAATGTTTTTAATTTTGAACATACCGACCTGGGGGAACTTGAGCATGTTTCTTTATCTTTTCAAATTTTAATATTCCATAAAACATTCCGCCAGACGGAAAGAATACATTTTTTTTTTCAATTACTTTAACTTAATCAGCAGCTTGAAGGCACCTACTGTTTCCAGCTCATCTCCAACTGATATTATTGTTCCAGTCATCATAGCGCACCCGGTGAGAGAGCGATACGTTCCCGATCCCAATAACCATGAAGTCGTCAACAGGTCGCGGCAGACTCCCACACGACCGGCGGTGCCCGTCAAGGGGCGCATCGTTATCGCCATGTACAACTACGAGGCCCGCGACAGCCAGGACGTCTCCTTCAAGAAGGGCGACCGCATGGAGGTCACCGACGACTCCGAAGGCGACTGGCTCCACGTGGTGCACCTCATCACCAAGGAGCGGGGCTACATTCCGGGCAACTTCGTGGCGCCCGAACTGAGCGTCGAAAGTGAAGAGTGAGTATTTCTGTTTAGTATTTGGCACGCGTTGAATTTTTTAGCGCATCGAATAAATTGATCGATGCGAAGCTTCGAATCATGTTACAATGACGCTGATAGTGAGATTAACTAAAATCTGAAGTATTTGAAGCTTCACCAAAAACTGGGACTACTTTAGATGTGCGCCTTTGACCTCGGTAAATGTTGAAGGGTCATTTTCGTTTTTGAAATCGATATTTACCAATCGCGAGAGACGATTAATCGCGGAACGATTGATTTGGTGTTGAGGTATAACCTTCAACCAAAAAAACACTTTGGTTAAATTTCATACACCTAATTGTAACTCATCCTGTACAAGCTATTGTTTTTGCGGTTTTTTTCAATTTTGGTTTTAATAGTTCAACCAAATCACAATTGGAGGAAAAAAATTGTTATCTGGGATTTGTAATTCGACTTAGATGTTTATAGTAATACTGTACAAAAATAAAGTTTTCGGTCAAACAATGACACACAGTTTTTTTGTATTTTTTTCCGTAGAATTGAATGGTCTAATCAGGTTTTGATTTTTTTTTAATTTAAACAAATTATCAACAATTATTGAAACATATTTTTTTATTTTTTTTGCATTTTTGAGCAAGTTTTTGACCTGTGATTACAGATTTTTTTATTTCACCAAAAAGTATATGTCAAAACGAAAAAAATGACCGGGCGGCACAAAGTTTCGTCAAAATTAAATTATTTTTGCGGAAATGGGAAATAAAAAACGAAAAATCTGAAAAAAATCTGTTTTTCGCATTTTTATCGGAAATTTTGGGCTATCTTAAAAAGTGACCTCTACAAAAGTTGTAGCCCCTTTACCATTTCCACTTATAAAGGTATAGGTAACAATTTCGATCGGTCTATAGTTCGGACACTTTAATTTAACTTATTGTCTTTTATAAAGGCATCTACTTGTGCAACATCTAGAAACTGTTTANACCAAAAAGTATATGTCAAAACGAAAAAAATGACCGGGCGGCACAAAGTTTCGTCAAAATTAAATTATTTTTGCGGAAATGGGAAATAAAAAACGAAAAATCTGAAAAAAATCTGTTTTTCGCATTTTTATCGGAAATTTTGGGCTATCTTAAAAAGTGACCTCTACAAAAGTTGTAGCCCCTTTACCATTTCCACTTATAAAGGTATAGGTAACAATTTCGATCGGTCTATAGTTCGGACACTTTAATTTAACTTATTGTCTTTTATAAAGGCATCTACTTGTGCAACATCTAGAAACTGTTTAGGCAACGTAGTTTCATTTCAGAAAATAGGTTTCTGTATTTTTCTACATAGGTCACATTATTTTAAAACGAATATCGTTGAATGTTTTGTTGAAATTACCCTTATAAATGATTGTTTAACACTACAATAAAATCTCGACGTAATACTTTCACTGACATAAGATTGCATGGGTTATTTTTAGGTAATCGCCATATGTTCGGTTTGACATTATTTTTAAAACATATATGGTGGCAAAGTGCTGATAGTTTCTCCAGGAAATCCTATTTTATTTTTAACTTCGGAACTAAAATTTCTATCACGAACTGCTATCCCCAATTTTAAGTGACTGACAGTTATTTGTTAGATGTAATTTAATTTTGTATGTTTTATACATATATTTCCACCGTATTCTTTTATATTTGTCCTATATTCGTATTACTACTTTGCTGCATATTCTATGTTATCGCTTTGTACATTTTTCATCTGTGGAATGACCGATTGGTCCAATATTTCGTAACGACGCAAACTTTCTCCTGTAGTGTGTCACAGATTTAAGATAATTGTAGTTAATAAACTGTCACTAAAACAGTTTATTCGGAAATGCAAATGTTATTAATTTTATAATACAGGTTCTGTTCTAGACAAATATTCAAATGAGAAAATTATACTCACAAAGAGGATCGACGAAGATAAAATCATACGAATTTATAACAGTAATACATTCGCCTCGAAAGTTGCTCTGATACATATCGTGCGTTTCTTGCAATAGTGGTGGATGTGTTTTTCTATGTTTTCGTTTGCTGTCTAAAATGTAGTAATCATTAGTTTCTTAGTAAGCATAAGGTCCAACCAAAAATATTATCCTTTTCATATAAATATCGCAGCGTATGTAAACCAGCAAATTCAGATGCGCATAGCAGACTGCGCACAATACGCCAACTGTGTGTAATAAATGGAGACGCATTTAAAAATTGAAAAGAATTGAAAAGTTTGTGACGAATTTGCTTTGATGTCATCAATAGTCTGAAAATGGCGTTCTTTTCGCAATGATTTTAATTTCTGAAATAAGAAAAAATCGCAAGGATCCAAGTCTGGTGAGTTAGGAGGGTGATGGAAGACAGTAATCTGAAGCTTGTATATTACAAATATAATATACAGTTGCAAGCATTAATGCCAACAAATTTTATGGAGCGTGATGCAAAAATAATCTTCGAGAATTTTGTCTTTAACATTTTGATGTAAAATTGCATTAATCAATTATTAGGGAGATTTAAAACCTTTTATTTGAGAATCTGATTAATCATACAAGTTACCTTAAAGCGTTTCTGAAACTATAATTTGTCACTAACAAATAGCGAATAAACTAGAAAATATTGTGAAATAGTAATGAAACTATCAATTAATTCTTCAAATTGAGTTTATCACGATTAGTATCTATTTTAAAACGTTTACGGCGCAAGTAAAAAGTTGTTATTACGGTCCTGATCAACGCTTCTGCATCCAAGGACATCCAAATTGGCTGAATGAGATCAAAGTGCCGACGACTGAGGTGAAACTGCTGGTTTACACGTGCTGTGTGGTTATCTGAAAATTGGTGGACAATGTACTCAGACAAGCCCATTTAAATTTTACTTTTTGCTTTCAAATTAACTAGTAACAGAGATATGTCATATTTAGAACGATATGGAGTTCAAAGGTAGTTATCTTTTCCTCGTTCATGATTTCCTATGATTTCATTTATAAAACTTCTTGAGTAATTGGAACAACATTATAAATCGGGGTGAATGAATAATTAATTTGGTTAATTTTTTTTACTTATCTTACCATTAAACATTACAAAATCAATGTACTCGCAAAGCGCGTCGCCGTGAATCTGGTGTGTCGCCTTAGTCACATAAAAAGCGTCACATAAACGGGCAGCCTAGTTTCATCCTATTCATATCGTGCCAATAACCAAAACTTGTCAACGGTAATACGACGTGACGAATTGTTTCATAACGGCAGCGAACATAATAACGCCGACATAGATAATGAGGATATAGAAATGCGATATGCATCGATAATTACATTTTTAATTGCGTGTATAATAATGTCGTTTAATATTTCGTACAGATAAAGTTTTGGCAACATGTATCAAAAAAATAAGATAAATAAGCTACGATTTATTCTGGTCACCTTTTTGGTATCATGAACTGGATCATATTGCACCAAATGCATTATTAACTATACCCACACAGAGAGAACGGTATCGCGTGTCTTTTATGCAAATGCCACCCTCTCTTCAGTATTTAGACAACCGCATGTGGGGAATAGAATCACAGCGCTTGTTTGTTGCAGCTGGTTCTTCGAGAACATATCCAGAAAAGAAGCCGAGAAACTGCTCCTGGCCGAAGAGAATGCCCGCGGTACTTTCCTAGTCCGTCCTTCTGAACACAATCCCAGTGGGTACTCTCTGTCTGTGAAGGACTGGGAGGAACAGAGGGGGTGTCATGTCAAACACTACAAGATAAAGCCGTTAGACAACGGTGGCTTTTACATTTCCACCAACAAGACCTTCGATTCATTGTCGGAATTGGTCAACGCTTATACGAGTAAGTAACATTTTTTTTAGTCATAATGTGTCGTATACATGGTGACCAAATGTTTCGCAAACAACTACCACAGGTTCTTAAGGTCAAAATGAGAAGATGTAACTAAATTTGACTCTATACAAAGTAGCTGTTGTTGTCAGTCATGGTTTTGGATTTGCCTTAAGAGAAGATTAAGTGATGAGGGGAGTATTGCTTTTAAAATAACTAAAGTGTGCAGAAAGTGGCGTCAACTTTTCCCTTTGGAAAGTGGCACAATCAAATCGAGGAGCAACAAATAAATATATGATAAACAAAATATGAAATAGAGAAAGAGAATAATGATAATTGTTCATTTGCTTAAGTAGTGGAAGACAGTTGGCTCTGGACCACTTGTAGCTGATGACAATTGAAGTCATCAAGTAAAGAAAAGTATTAGGTACTTTATATCATGTGATTGGCGTATACTGTAGTAGTATGAGATAGCCGTTTCCGGACCACCTGGTCTAAAGTAGTGACTCTATTTGCATGTAGTGGTGCAGAAAGCAGTTTCTGTAAAGATAATCACATGGCAATAAATATTGTCCTTGAAATTTGTTTATTGAAGGCTTATGATCGTCCTTGAAAGTTCGTACAATTAAATAATATCCTCTATTAACCTTGAGAAATGTATTTAATAAATTTCTGTTGTCTTTGTCAATGGTGGAGGGGTGGGAGATCTAGAAACGGCTATAATCTACTTTAAACCGTGACGTTTTTTTCAAGTTTCTCAGTTTTCAAGATATCAGCGCAAATTCAAAAATATATCTAAAATTTACTAAGAAAAATCAATTTTTTACTATTCTGATATGCCTTGAACATTTTCTTTGGGAACAGAACATCTCATTGTATGCATTTCATAAATTACACGAACCACTATTTGATTTTGGAACCGCCCGGCTTTCTTTTTGCGTGCGCCACTGCACAGAGAACTAGCTACTACAATGAAATCGCATTAATTGTAAACACAGATCAACCGCTAATGAAAAATCATCAGTAAAAACTAAATGCGGTAAACTTAGATTCGCTTCAAATCACATCCATATCGCTTTTAATGTATGAGCAAAAGTTATAACCCCACTCATAAATCCATTATAGTGATTCAGGTTTTATACTTAGCATACTAACCAGTCGCCTCATTCTCGTTATAATAAAACCTGTGTAGAGATTTTATTTTATGACACGGGATGAAACACTGAACTTAACAGAGGTTTATTTTGTCTTTGTTGTCTTTGAGATATAATTCATCTGTTGCTCTGAAGATTGCAAAGAATGTTTAAGTATCACATACACGCATTAAAGATTCGTACACCTACATCCAGTGCAAATAAAAAATATATATTAAGTGTACATCCAAATTAACCATAAATGCATGTTGCAACGGGGCTTATTCCTCCCATTGAAACAAAGAAAAGGACAAACAAGAGAATCATTTTTTCTGAAACGATACTGAAGAGGATAATATACAGGATGTCGCATTTTAAATAACGCATTGCAATATCTTCTCAGAGAAGCACATCCAAGAAAAACTTTTTAGATACAAGTGACCTTCACCCAAAGGTCAACCGTAGAGGTTATTGAAGGACAACTTGTATTTGATTCTAACAGGATATTTTAGGGCCAAATAATGTTCTGAATAAGATTTTGCGGTATTTTTCGGGAAACACTTACGACAAAGAATTCTGGTTAAAAGTTTATATGGTTTGATGGATTCATACGATGATGACTTTGGCCATGACCTAGAGGTCAAGCTTGAAGGTTCTTTGAAGGCCAAATAAAGTTACAAACATTGTTTGCAGCCTTATTAAGCCGAGGCAAGATCGTTATGGCCCACCCAGCCAAGGCAAGATCGCTCTGACCCAGCCACTCAAGGCAAGATCGCTATGACTCGGCCAGTCGAAGCGATCTTGCCTCGACTGACCGGGTTTGCTCTGACTGTCCGGGTCATAGCGATCTTGCCATCATTCAAATTAGAGATGGACACTTTTCGGAAGTGTGTGTTACGGACATGTCGATGAAATGTCCGGACATGTCGGGAAAAGTACTTTTGACCTTGAATCTAATAAGGCACCAATGAGTGACGTCTTGGTCACTGCTTGAGGCTACACAAAGCAAAATATTACTTTTATTCTAATGAATAAGTGTCGATATATTTTACTTATTACCTACCTTTAAACTTTTTTATAAATTGGTTTCTAATTTTCCCCAGATAGCCAATACACTTATTTAAATGTTTTTCCATCCTACTGGAATTCTTAAAAATTGTTTTTGAGCAGAAGTTACATTTATAATGATTTTTACTCAATTCAGAAGAATATAACCAAACTGTTGATTTTGGCGTCATACTTCATTTATAAACTTTTTGTGTATTAAATATTAAATTAAGAATCAACTGTTTACTATTTCGTAATCGTTAACTTTGCCAAAAATAATAAAATATGGACATATAAAATATTTTTAAAATGTCAGTTTCAGTTAAACAATTACGAACAAAATTACAAGAAAATGGCTAAATATCTTTAATTTTACATGTACCAACTTAAAAAAAAATTTTGCGGAATTATGAATGCAACAAATAATTCCCCGCATGCGCATACAACTTTTCAATCTTGAAAAGTGTCCTCAGGGTATGTCCACCTTTCACGACATGTCCAGCTGACATGTCCGCGGCACATGTCTAATTCAAATAAATGTGAATTTATGCAAGAAAAATTCAAGAAGCACAAAAGTTTCCATCGAAAATGGTCATTGCACATCTGTAAAGAATTCTTCGACAAGTAATCTTTTGACAGTTGACACCCTTCAGAGATCAGACCCCTCCTAAATCCAATGTTAACGTTCGTTTTGTTGGAATAGCACATTAGAGGGCCTGTATCTTCAATAACTGTTATGAAAATTGTGTTTCACTTCTAATGTTTGAAAGGTCATAAAGCCAATAGGATTTTTTTTTTTTTGAAAAATGTTACTCTTGCTTCTTCACTTGTGCTTATAAGATATATCAATTCTAAGCCTGACTTACCACATTGATGTGATGAAATTTTTTGTGCCGTTAATGTCATTGTTATTGTTTTGATAGACCGTGTTAGTATGGTTATTCAAATTTATTTATACACACACCACAAGCAAACAGAAATCACAGTTAAAAGTAAAAATCTAGAAAAATAAATGGTTTCAATTAAATGTAATTAAAACTAAAGTAAAACTCAATTGAACTAGCAATTGTTCTGTTTTGAAAGCGACACAGGATGATACGGCACCTAGAGCCACAAATATTGTAAATTTGCTAAGTCGTTGAAAGAATTTTAATCCGCTCTATATTTTTTAAAGGATTTTGCAATGTTTCTGCGCAAAATATCTTACCAATTCTATTCTGTTAATTTTATACCCATCTTTTAATTAATTTTAATTTCATACAAAACACATTTCTTATAACTTTGCTAATATTGCTATTATTTGTTACAGGAAATGCTTACGGATTATGTCACGTCCTCTCTAGGCCATGCAGGAAACCTCAACCCACTATGTGGGACTTGGGCCCCACGTATAGAGATAAATGGGAAATTCCTAGGAGCGAATTACGCTTAATAAAACAACTGGGTAAGGGTAACTTTGGGGAAGTCTTCTACGGAAAATGGAAGAACAACATAGAAGTAGCCGTCAAAACGTTACGACAGGGTACAATGTCCACTGCCGCTTTCCTACAGGAAGCCGCCATTATGAAAAAATTCCGACACAAACGATTGGTAGCACTATTCGGGGTCTGTAGCGAAGAGGAGCCCATTTACATAGTCCAGGAATACATGAACAAAGGCAGTTTGTTGGAATTCCTTAGGAAAGACGAAGGGAAATACCTCGAATTTGACGAATTAGTGTACATAGCTTTCCAAATAGCCAGTGGAATGGAATACTTGGAATCGAAACAGCTCATTCATAGAGACTTGGCCGCAAGAAACGTCTTGATAGGTGAAAATAATATAGCCAAGATATGCGACTTCGGCCTGGCTAGGGTAATAGAAGACAATGAGTACTGTCCAAAACAGGGTTCGCGTTTTCCAGTGAAATGGACTGCCCCGGAGGCGATAGTGTACGGCAGGTTCTCCATAAAATCAGACGTATGGTCTTACGGGATACTGCTGATGGAACTGTTTACATACGGGCAAGTGCCCTATCCGGGAATGCACGGTAGAGAAGTCATCGAAATGGTCGAAAAAGGTTACCGAATGCCGAAACCTACTTCACACCGATTACCGGACGACATATACCAAATTATGTTGAAGTGTTGGGACGCCAATCCTGAAAAGAGACCTACCTTTGAATTCCTAACGCATTACTTCGAGGGGTTTAGCGTAACATCGGAAGTTCCTTACAGGGAGGTACCCGACTAAGGACGTGTCGTTGTGTATTGATGATGTACTCTTTGGTGTGAATCAGTACTTAATTTCGTTATATGCAGTGTTTATGCAGTCGTCGACGTCATTGACATTTATTTTCAAGTAAACTAAGCTAGATCTCATTTAGATTTTAAATAATTGCTTTGTTTCACACATGGATCTTTCTTACATACCTTGCGCCATGTTTGTTTCATTGATCGGTGACAATACAAGCTGGAAACTTCTTCGATCTTATTAAATTTAAAATCTAGTTTGAGTTCTTGTAGACTTAAAGGCAAAGAGAATTTCGACATACCAGTGCTGAAGATTTAAGTTTTGTGATATTTTAGTTGATAACTTCGACTAGTCACGAGTCACGATGATAGTTTCGGTTTTAAAGACGAACTATTACGGTAGTTGAGAAGTAGCATGATACGGGAAACTCTTTATTTGGAACTACTGCCGGTTTTTATTTTCTGGGCGAGACGATTCGCCTAAGTTTTATGCTCGGTTTACTTCAGTATTTTTTCAAGAGGGAAAAGTGTCGGAGAGCTTTCTAATCAATCGTAGAAGGTAGAATTTGGAATCAAGATATTACCATTAATAAATTAACCCCAAGACTGAGCCCTCCCATTTTGGGTTTGGAAGTTTTGTTATCCTCTTATTCGTCAATTGAGACCTTTAAAGACAAAGCGAGTGTCTCCTTTTTGCCTTAGCTCTCTGCTATCTTGTCGGTTCGACCCCTTCGACAACCTTCCGTCGCCGTACATGTCTGAAGGAGGAAAGCCTTTGTTGACCTAAATCTCTTGTTATTCCAAGAAAGAAACTATCAAAAATCTTTCCCTATTGGACATACAATCTTGCTCAGACTGTCCGGGTCATAGCGATCTTGCCTTCATTCAAATTAGAGATGGGCACTTTTCGGAAAAGTGTGTTACAGACATGTCGATGAAATGTCCGGACATGTCGGGAAAAGTACATTTGACCTTGAATCTAATAAGGCACCTATGAGTGATGTCTCGTTTTCATTGGGCCCTATTGGGCGTTAATTGCCTCAAAACATAACAAAATATGGCGATATTTTGGAATTCCTACGTCCATTCGAGCCCGAGGGGCCCGTGACAAACAAACATCGATTTTGCCCTTGTCCTGAAACAAACTATTTTAAAAAAAACAAGTCTGAAAACTAATCTTTGTTTTTGCCATTTACGTATTTGAAGATTTAAATACACGGCAGAATTTGGAATCAAGATACTACCCATTAATAAATTAACCCCAAGACTTTAAAGTTAAATAGACCGCACTGTGTGGAAACCCAAGGGGAACTGCATTTTCGGGGACCTCAAAAGATTTTGACACTTTTACTTCGAGCCCTCCCATTTTGATTTGGACGTTTTGTTATCCTCTTATTCGTCAATTGAAACCTTTAAAGACAAAGAGAGTGTCTCCTTTTTGCCTTAGCTCTCTGCTATTTTGTCAGTTCGACCCCTTCGACTACCTTCCGTCACCGTACATGTCTGAAGAAGGAAAGCCTTTGTTGACCTAAATCTCTTGTGTTTCCAAGAAAGAAACTATCAAAAAACTTTCCCTATAGGGCATAGCAATCTTGCTCAGACTGTCCAGGTCATAGCGATCTTGCCTTCATTCAATTTAGAGATGGGCGCATTTAGGAAAAGTGTGTTACAGACATGTCGATGAAATGTCCGGACATGTCGGGAAAAGTACTTTTGACCTTGAATCTAATAAGGCACCTATGAGTGACATATCGTTTTCATTGGGCCCTATTGGGCGTTAATTGCCTCAAAACATAACAAAATATGGCGATATTTTGTAATTCCTACGTCCATTCGATCCCGAGGAGCCCGTGACAAACAAATATCGATTTTTCCCTTCTTGTCCTGAAACGATGCTTACCAGATAGCGAAAACGTCTTCAAGTTAACTTGTTCCAAATGCTTTCGGATTCTATGGTTTACTTGTTGTGAGTACCGGGTAAGTTTTGTAAATTTTTTACTTGGTGACGAAAGTTTTGCAGACACCGATTTTATCTGGTGACTGTAAAATCTACTCGAAACCCCAAATTTTTCGGTATTTGTTGCCTAATATTTATTACTGTACCAGTATAGGTCCCAAACTGACCAATAAATTATAAAGCCTTTCGGCTTTTGTTTTTCCAACTTAGGTATTCGAAAATTTAAAAAATGTTTTCGGTTATTCTCTCCCACACTTTTCCCGCGTCGGGAAATAACGTGTTTATACTTTTTGTTATAAAACAGAATAGCAAGTGCTGTGAAAGTAGGGGAAATGGAAACGGTAGCAGTGCCGCACATCGTGATATTTATTTTAGACACCGATTTTTTTTTAATGTATGTTCGAATATGTTTTTTCTTAATTTGTCACAAATTATGCTACTTTTAAACTGACCTTATTTCTACGAATTAGGAATCCCCAAATTTTCTAATATAGTATTTTGAGAAAATATGATAGAAAAGTTAGAAAAAGACTGTATATTTTAGAGCTTCTAAAGTGATGAAACTCGTAAAGTCTGTAATTTGAAACGACGTACCATTTCAAAGTTGGTGACTTTCAAATCTTTACGAGTTTTCGAGAAACTGAGCCACGTACGAGAGTAGACGTAGTACAAAGAGGCTAAAATTCAAGTGTCCTATTTCAGAATTTAACTTTTTATATGATGACTTTTTGTACTTCCAAAAGTAACTTTTACATGAGAAATATTGGACGTGGACCAATAATCTTTCTAGAATTTTTCCTTGCACTTTTTTTTGTTCCTATAATGTGCATAAAGTTGAAGATGGAAACTTTTGTGTATCGTATGTGTGTTAAGATTAGCTGTACCTCCATGGAAAATGCCCTATATAAATTTCCAGATTACTAGCGGGTGGGCAAGATTCACAAATTTTATTTGAAGATATGTTCACTTATCTCCACAAGAGCAAAGATCAAAGATGCCGTATAAAAGAGTTCAGGGTGTAGTTAGCCGTGACGCACAGGACTGACAGTCGATCGTCAACTAACTTTTAGATATACAGCGTGTTTATTAAGTATTTGTACAACCTTCAATGGGTGTTGCTTTGATGATAATTCTAAGACGAAAAGTTTATATAAACAGGTCCGGCAATGCTTCGCTTCCAAGATACAGAGTGTTAAACTTTTAAAAAAATCGTTTTTTCATAAAAATTTTAATAATCCTTCAGCCGATTTTGTTGAAATTTGGCAGTGTTATTTATGGTAGAAAGGGGCTAATTTAGCCCTAACTACATTAAAATTAACAAGTCCAGTGGCGTCCCGGGGGGCATCTTAACCAATATTTTTGACTAAAAAAGTGCGCCACTAACTTTTTCGCATTAAGCAACTAAAAATACAATTTTTTTCTCCTGAATTTTTTTCGTATCTTGCTTCCTTTTTGGAGAAAAAAAATAAAAATTACCTTACTGCACGTCCATAGACAACAAAAAAAAAACATTTTTAATGACGCAGCCACACACAAAAAAGTTGTCTGTACTTTTCATGTGACATATGCTAGCTGTAGTATTTTTGCCTCCTGATCACGAATCCGGTGTCAGAATTGAGCTATCACATCATAGGAATTTCCTAACCTCAAGAAACAGGTAAAAAATAGCAAATATTCGAGTAAATTAAGGTCAGATATTACGAATTTTCATAAAATAACAGACTCGAAATTTGGTATACGGAGGTTTTTGGGGTCACTGATCACGCATCCGAGGTCAATTTTGCAAAATTCAATATGGCGGATCCAAGATGACCGATAAAATTTTCAAAAAACAACACATTCCCGCCAAATTTGGTATCCGAGGGTTTTCGGGGTCGCTGATCTCGAATCCGAGATCAGATTTACAAGATTCGCGTTTAAAAATCTAATCAATTGCCTATGTACTTTAAGAAGGTTAAAACATGATTGGGTACTCAGGTTATAAAGTAAACAAAAATATTACAAAGTGAATTTCGCAATTCTAACCTTGAATTCGTAATCAGCGACCCCAAAACCCCCTGTATACCAAATTTGATGCGAATGTGTTATTTTTTGAAAATTTAGTCGGCCATCTTGGATCCGCCATTTTGAATTTTGCAAAATTGACCTCGGATCCGTGATCAGCGACCCCGAAAATCCCCGTATACCAAATTTAGCGCGAATGGGTGATCAGGAGGCAAAAATTGTACAGATAACATATGTCGCATGAAAAGTACAGACAACTTTTTTTTTGTGTGTGGCTGTGTACCTAATTAATAAAACACAAAAGTTTTTTTAGCTAGCATTAATTTTTATAATAATTTCTAAGACTAGAATAGACTATTAATATGAAAAAAATAGAATAGTTGGATAGTTTGGTAGTTTCTATTTTTTATTATATTCTGCCATAAATAAGGGCTAAATTTCAACAAAATCGACTGAAGGATTAATAAGATTTTTACGATGAAACTATTTTTTTTTAAGTTTGACACCCTGTATCTTGAAAATTGAGCATTACTGGACCTACGTTTATACAAACTTGAAGTTTGTACAAGTACGTAAAAAACACCCTGTATAATAATCTTAAAATTGCATCTGCAGATTTTCATCATCTGGTATATACAAATTAATTGGATGATAAAATAAGTCGGCCACTGACTGTCCGTCTGTACTAAAGCTCAATTTATATTGAGCACTTTTCCAAGTTGCAGAAACGAGAGAGAATCTGATAGTTTTAATATTTAATTTTTAAAATAAAAACCTGCAACTGTTTTTTGCACATTTCAAATTCAAAACAATATCTCAAGAGGGAACGAAAATCAGGGAACTGATGAACAAATTAATATTTAATTTGTACTCCAGAAATTTATGTAAGGTATTTTTTAGCTTGCTTCGTTTTTTGTGCAATAAATCGTGTACAAATCTTTACATTAGGCCGTCTAAAAAATTACCTGCCAAAAATACTAACGCCATCTATATTTATTTTACGAGAATGTCTTTTTTTTACAAAAATAGATATGATAGTGGATGTGAGTGTTTGTGTTAGTCTTATGTTGTTTAAATTTGTCCAGCGTAATCTATTATAAATATTTTTTTTATTTTTTAAAAAGCCATATGTTATAGTTTTTATAGGAACAATCATATAACTTTTGTACATATAATATAGTATTAAAATAAAAAAATATTGTGCTACTCTTTAACCGTATTTTATTTTAATTGAACCTGAAAGGCAGGCAAGCCTATGACGCAGACTCACCTAATATTAATTTTTCAAAATGTTCAAATGTTTTTTCAATGCACGAAACACCTTTCGTACTCGTCTCTTCCGATGTCTTGCAGTGCCACCTTTGATTTTCTTTTCACTTCCGAAATGTCTGCAAAACGTTTCCCTTTTAGCTCCCATTTCATACGGGGAGACAAAAAAAAATCGCAGGGTGCCAGATCAGGTGAGTAAGGTGGGTGAGGAAGTACTGTCATGTAATTTTTCGGCAAAAAATCATATGCAGAGAGGACTGTGTGAGCTGAAACATTGTCATGGTCGAAGAACTGAACACTCCTGCACAACCACCTTGAAACACTCAAGTCGATGCTCAGGAACGTTTCTCAGTGAACAATGCCATGAACGTCGAACAAACATCAACATCGTCTTCACAGCCGAATTGACTTGCTGGGCCTTTTTTGGACGATTCATTTTTTTTAATGTACTTTTGAAAAAAAATAGATCAAAATTATCTGAACCTACCTTCACTGTTTTTTTTTTTCCAATTTTCGAAAAAAAACGAAAATATCTCGATTACCATTTTTGAAAAAAAAATTTTTTTTCTTATAAAACACTGACTATAAATCCTCAAATTTTTTCAGTAGTGTTTTTTCATTTTCTATTTTTTTAATTGACTGATTTATTTTTTGAAATTTAGCTTATTTCACATACCATTTTGAAAAATTTTTAAAATGTATAAGTATAGAATCCCAAAATTGAAAAAAATATATATGGAAGGAATAATTGAAAGTGGTAATCATGAAAAACATTTCGATTTGTTTTTTTAGTCAAGAAAAAAATAGATCGTTTTGAATAATTTTTTTGTATTTTTTTTTCAAAACCTACATCCAAAAACAAAGAAAATGAAAAAAAAAGTCTTATTTGGTCCATTTTTGGACGAACAATGGGCTTTTAAAAAAGACATGCAATGCATTTGAACTCAAATAAATCAATTTGAAACCATCCTCTTTCGACTTTTTGAAATTGTCATCAATCGCTGCATAAAATAAATTTTTTCAATTTTGGGATTCTATATATATTTTCAAAAATTTTCGAAATGGTATGTGAATTAAGCTAAATTTGAAAAAAAATTTTCAATAAAAAAAATTGAAAACGAAAAAACCACTAAAAAATTTGATGATTTATAAAAAAAAATGTTTTTTATAAAAAAAAATTCAAAAATGGGAATCATTGAGAAATTTTCGTTTTTTTTTGAAAATTGAAAAAAAAAAGTGAAAATAGGTCCAAATAATTTTGACCTATTTTTTTCAAAATGAACATTTAAAAACAAAAATTTTGAAAAAAAAACGTCCTGATAACTCATAAAAGTTATGGTTATTTTAAAAAAAAGCTATTTTTTTTCAACAATTCCTAACTTTTTTGAGTTGGGTGAAAAAATTTGAAAAAATTCTCAGAGGGAAAGAAAACAATAAAAAAGTTTCAACTAAATCGAAAGGGGTCAGGGTTAAAAATGGTCGATTTGGCGTGGAATGCCCTATATTTAATAAACTGAATCATGATTCTAAAAGTTATATCAATGTTTTCATAATTTCAGTTGCCAGGACGTTATTTATCAAAAACACTAGATGGTATTGAGAAATATCAGTTTATTTCGCTACTGTTTAGTTAAAATAAGAGCAAAATGCCTTTTAAAGAAGTTTTTCATCACATTTAAAGGGAAATAATTCAAAGTTAAACACTTCAATAGAATTCAATTTAATTTTATTCTATATCACAATTCGTTCGGGGCAAATAAACACTTACAATAAAATTACAAATTTTAGGGGTGTCAGAGTTTCAATTTGAAACAAATAAAATTATTTGAAGACCATGATAATGTGTCTTATACTAATTATTAGTTATTTTAAGAATTCAATCACGAATTTAAGTCAATTTTGTATATGTACTGACGAAATTAATATTGCCCCCATCACAATAGAATGCTTTCGATGAATACGTCTCCCATTTAATTATATCATCTTGGTCTTTACACTAACCGACTAGTAGCACAAGTAAATACAACTAAAAGCCCTATGGCAGTTATTAAGGTTACTCAAAATACAAGCCATTATAACTAAATATTTGAACTTGAAATGGAAGCATAGACCCTAATTTATTGACATTAAAGTTTTTAGTGAAATTTATTTTATCCTACATTTTGTGATACTATTTCTAATTAATTTCAGCTTATCTCGGTCGTCAAACGGAATAAGCTGAAATATTTTGTAATCAGAACTACAAAACAGTTTACATGATCAAACAAAAATTGTATTAATACTGATATCACTGGATGTGTTTCACATTTTCCAAATTTTGTGCTGTTACAATGTACAGTGTGGCACGTTAAGAATAGGACATCCCTTTAATTTTTTTTTTTTTTGGATACATTCAAATTTTTTTTTTATTTTCCTTCTAGATATATTTGTTAAATCAATTGAGATTATCCAGATGGTAATTCATGCACTGCCACTTTAATTTTTTTCAAAAGTTTGTCTGCTTGAAACAAAGAGTCATTTCGTGAATATTTCTAATTTAGCCGTCACTTTTCTAAAAAACCATAAAATACCCATTTTTTCCATTTTTAAAAATTAAAAAAAAAATTCCATAAAGTTGCGGCAGCATGTTGTAGGAAATTTATTTCAGTTTTTAGGTCACCATCTAGAAGGCTACTGTGTATAAAAAAAATTAGGGGATTCTTAAAAGGACCACACTGGATATAAGAAATCTTTAACACTTTTATTTTTAATGAAAGGTTCTCTTCAGCAATGTTAAAGAGAATAAGAAGAAAAATCAATAAAAAAAAAACAAACAAAAAATAGAAAAAATTTGCTAGAATACAAATCTATCATTACATTTTAGTGAGACGATGTTATTAGCAGCACTAACACCAGAATATCAATTTTTCTTCTCAATGTTTACATGTTTTAACTTAATTAATAGAGAAAAGATGTATTTTCTCTGGACTGTCACAGAACTAAAACAATACTCCAACATTATACATTCGACTTTAAACAGATTTCAACTGCATGACCAGTATAAAAACAAGACCTGAATAATAGTTTTAAATAGTTTCGAATTAATTCAAAATTGATATCACTAACACAAAGTAAATTAAAAATTTTATTACTGTTGTAAATCAATATTTATAACATTTTTATCACTTTATAACTTTGAAATCACAGCTGAAGTGAAATTGGTCGATGTGTACATAACAAACAATACTTAGAACTGGTTATTATTGCTGGAATGTATATACGAGGTTCGATAAAAATGTAACAGGAATTTTAAAATTGCTTGTGTTTCTTGTCTATCGAGTTGAGTCTTTTTTTGTGTATTGGTAGCATCGTCACTAACGTATCTTAATTTGTGTTTAGCGAGCAAATGGTGGATTTTCCAGCACGATAATACACCGGCGCATACCGTTTCGCTTATTGAACAGTTCTTGGCAAAACAGAACACCGTTGTGATGCTTCAACTACCCTATTCTAGGGACATGATCCCTGTGACTTTTACTCAAAGGACGTTTTTCAACAATAGACGAGATAAATGCAAAATCACAAACCGTGCTCAAGACGATACCGAAAAAGGCGTTTCTCAAACTGAATAAATAAATAAAACATTAAATATATACTTTTGAAGGAAATTAACAATTCCAGTTACTTTTTGATCACACCTCGTATATGTAGCAGTTTTTTTGGTTTTAGAAAAATTCCGAATTTGTTTAGCCAAGCTACGTCTAGTAATACTAGCTAGTAAATACAATACTCTACAAAATGTAATAAAACCCTAAATAATAATCAAAATAATTGATATGTTTCGACTTTGGCGTGATTATTTTTAGACATGGTTCACAAAAATATCAAAAAAAAATTGCTAGAGAAAACAGTATAACCGTATAATAAAAATATAAGACTTAAGGTGCAATACTTGCACCAGTAAAATTAATTTAAAATTCTGGGCTACTACTGTTAGGAAATAAAAGTTTTTTTAACTTTTTTATGATACGGTTCATATTATAAATTACAAAATAATGTTATTCAAAATAGTCGTGTCGTTGAATAAAAAATATTAATATGACTAAAAAAATAAAGACTTGATATACTAAAAATTGTGAAAAAAAATTATTTCGACATCGTTCTACAATTAATTTTCTATCATTTTGTAACGGACGTTATGCCAATATGAATATCCATAATTTTTTATAAAATCACTGTTACATGAAGATAGAAATAAAGTTTACGAAAAATTTTTAACATATTTCAAATTATTTATCCTGCATAGCATTCACACAAAAAAAAATTAAAACAAGAAAAAATACATAATAAATTTTATCAATATTGCCAATATACTCACTGATTTTGATGAAGCAGTTTTGGTAAAAGCTGCCACATCCCAATAGGAACAATGTGGTGAAATAAGGTTACCAGACAATTAATTTAATAAATTTCAGGGCATATATACTGCAACGTAATCGAAACTACTAGACGTCAGTCAAGTAGTGTCCACTTTTGTATCTGCTTGCAATAAACTTTGACCTTAAATATCTAAGGAATTGTTCTACTTTTATTTCGAATTCTGTCATGGATAAAGGATGTTTTTTACTCAAAAGATTTAAATAAATGCCTATCACAACTATCATACCAGACCACAAATACCTGCAAACGATAAAAAAAAATTGCATGAATTTTTTATTAGTTCGATTTTTATCAAGTACTTACTGGAATGTGAAGGGTTTGCTGAAGAATATGAAAGAAATAACTATGGTAACAGCCTTTCTACAGGTCGTAACCGTCACTGCAGCGAACGCTCCAGTCGTCCGAACTAACGTTAATACTACTTGAATTCCCAAGTAACCTGTTATTGAGAATATAAATGCGTATCCGTAGGTCTTTTTAGGATTCTGTAATAAAATGTAACGTTAATAACAAAACAAATTTGAAAATAACTAACGCTGTGCAAACCTGTGCAAAAAAATTTAGGCCGTCAGTAAAATCGCCCGTAGCCAACATTACTACGAATATGTAAGAAAATCCTAGAGCATAAGAGTATAATACTACTTCGGCATTTGAAGCACCATAATTTTTCATCGACTTCTCTTGTACGTTTCCAATGATCGCGTCGCATAATAAAGCCAGCGATATCATTGTAATACCTTTCGTATTGAAGTTGGGCTGCACTTGTGAATCAGCTAAAAACAAAATGGCATAAAATTGGATGAAGTGTGCACATAATTTTTTTCCAAATCGTAATTTAAATGGGTTTTATGTGAAAATTGGCTCTTGTCAAATTAATTTAGAAAATGTAATGCAACTTTAAAAGCCATCAATCAATGAACAAACTAATAAAATAATATGTAATCAGTATGTAGTAAGTATAGCTATTTATTTGCGAAATAAAAACAATAAAGTGAGTAAGGAAGGAAGCATTAGGATTTTCCAATTTTTTTAATAATGGTAGTAAATAAATTTGATGTAATAAGCTATAAATTTATACAAGGAAAAAAATTTAAATCTTTATAACTGCAGTGCAAAGAAATTTAACAGAAGTTGCATTAGTATCATTTATATTAAGAAAAAAGTGCTGATATGCTTTCACTTAATCAACTATGGACTCAAATAGCATACATGCTTGTATATATAAAAAAACACATTAAGTCATGCTCAAAAGCAGTTCCTTAATCTATATTATCTTTTTTTATGAACGAAACTATGAAGAAAAAAATGTTTAAAGGTTACTTTAATATTCGGTGCAATATGTAACTTACATATTGTTATTGTTATTCGCTGTTAGTCATTTTAATGGTAATATCGTTACAGTTTTCACGCTCTTAATCACTGAATATACTTAACCTTCATAATTTTATACAAGAATCTAACACCTCAAATATATGTACAATACATACAATTCTACAAATTATTTACAATTACTTCAAAATCCATACAAACCCAATGTGAATAAAGTTAGTCCAACACACATTAAAACAGCAGCGATAAAATCCAATGGTCCATACCGTTTTCCTTGAATCAAGATTCCCCCTGCGAGAACAGGGATCAATTTGCAGCATTTAAAAATTACTTGTGTCGGATAGTTTAGATAACCCAAAGAAGCGTTAGAGAAACCCATAGTACCTAATGTAAGAAGAGCCAGTAAGAAATATGTACGTATGGGAATCCTGAAAAAAGTATTTAATGTTAGGAAAAAAGCATGAGACTTATTTAGACAGTTCAAACGAAATACATGAATTTCTAAAATATTCTAAAAAGTTAAGAACAAAACAGCCTATACCTACTTTCTAGATGAAACATTTCTAATTCGTGTCTCGATGAGTCCAAATATACTATAAAACCCGAACTGAACTAATGTCAAAAACCAACCATAAGGTTGAAAACCGTCTATAGTAAATATAAGTTCCTGTATATATCCATACAAAAGAAAGAAGAAAAACACAGCTGCACAACATAAAAGGAACTGTAAAGTTTTGCTAAAACTGCTTATATCCAGACACAGTATACTATTCTTTGGTTTTACTGGTTCTGGGTCCAATAATAATCTCTGTTTTGGAATCATTTTCACTTTACACTAAGTAAAAACTAAAATAATTTACTTAAAACTCCATGACACGTTGATATTTTCAAAAGCACATGAAAAGATGTGTCAAACTTTTTCTGACAGACAGGTTAGGCAACATTGAAAGCGTAATTGAGTTGCAAGTTGCACAGATTATTATCTGCGGTTGTTATTGCTACTGAAATTTCTATTAATTATATCGTGAATTCATTTCGAAAAACTTCATTAAAGGGAAGTGGTTCGTGTGTAATTCTCTCAAAAATGAAAACATATGGAAATTTGTTCGTGAAAAATTGACTAGCTATTCGACCAAAATTCCGACGAATGAGTCACTGTAACTTATACACTTTCTAATACATAGAGTAAACATTTCGAATTTAAATGGGAATGTTAAGAAGAATATACCTATCAGTGAATATTTTGATAAGGAATAATTCGCCAATAATCATAAATATCAAGGTCAAACAATAAGGTTCAACGCCATCTGCAAAGTAAAATGTAAACAAAAAATAGTAATGGCCGAAGAGTTTTGGCAGTGATCTTCGTGTTGTGGATAAGTGTACGTAAAACTATTACTAATTAAACTATTAATTATGACAATTTTAATTCGGTGAGAGTGACTTTAAATATAGTGAAAAAGTGTGTTATTATGTATTGTACAGTTGACAAAAGTCATTGTAGTGCAGCTTCCAGCACACAGCCCAAGACTATGAAGGATGGTAAGTTAAATTTTCATGAACTTTGTATAAATAATTTGTTAATAATATAAGTAATCTCTTTAAAATAATAATTAACAAACGTGTTGACTACTGTTCAACATTTGTTAGGTATAGAGACAGGTAGGTTGTATTTTACCACAATGTATTTTAACAAAGGTTTTCTGGAAAGTTTACCAAAATCTATGAAACAGTTAAACAATAAACACCTTTCATGTCATTCATTAGAATTTGGCAAACATTTTATGTAGATTTACTTATTATTTAATGCAGTAACAAGGAAGTTCAATTATGGCCAAGTAACCAATGTATCAATTATTAAACAGAACACACATCTCAAGGTTTTTTTATGTAATTTTGTAGAAAAATGGTGTGGACGTACATATTCTATATTAGGAAATAATTGTAATAAGTCCTGACTCTTATCAACGACGTAATAACTATGGAACCTAACACACAACATTAACAAAATATGATTAGGTATGTAGGTATTTACCTACCTACCTGTCTACCCATAATTTCAAACTGGACAATTTTACCTATTTAGTACTTTGTACATTTATCATTGCATATTTGTTAGTCCTGAATTCACCGTTCTAGTTTGATATGGAAAATGTGAACCATTGACACATATAAATATTGTTGTGGTAAGACTCTTTATATTACAAAATTGGAATGGACAATTTTTGAAATTGCTGTCTATACTTCCTTGAATTAATATTAGTGATGATTCTTTGAACACAGGCTTAAAATTAGCAGGCAAATACTTTACTACCTATTCAAAATAAACCGATACGTATTAATTTAAAATAGGTAGGTAGATATATTTAAAAATATGTTAACAAGCCATTATTTTGTACTGTCTAAAATTTAGTTTATAATTTATTCTAAATTTCAATGTACCACCCACCATTTGCGTGTTGATTAACAGATAAAACAATAATTAGTTACCTAGGAATATATAGGTACAATTCGGTTTTTATGAAGTTAGATATGCTTTTTCCGTATTTGCTTGATCCACGTAAGGAATGATTTTGAAAATTTCATTTTCGGGGTAAGTAAATGTCAAAGCTTAACTCTGTTTACTCGTCACCTACATTTTTGTCTTTTAGGTTAAACTATAAATTCTAGGTTACTTCCAGACCACCTACATTGTTATTGATCAATAAATATCTGGCAAAAGTATGTGTTGGGTTTATATTTGTTGAAGATAATTAATGATAAAGCAGTGATGTTCTGACAGGATGCTGTTGATAAAAAATCTCGTGGGTGAATGCCGCTTACCGAAGTTCGCTGATTGCCGTTGCAGCGATTTTAGATGCATGTGGGTGTATGTACACGCGAAATCTATAAATACGTATATCAATCAATGTGATTACCAGTGTATTATCAACATATTTTTAAAGTATGTACCTACTTACTTAATTAGGCCGATATGCACTATTCAGAAAAGTGCAGTGACACCTAATAAGTAAGTACTTAGGTACCTATTTCTTTCTAAGAAAGAAATATTTTTTTATTTACTTATTCCTTGAAAAAAACTCAAAATATTGCCAGACAGCCTCCATAAACTACTCAATTTTTTTTTCTCATATTCTATCATATTTCATCTTATTCCCTTATATTCTCTTAGATTCATCGCCCTGTTCTGTCTTACACGCATATTCCCATTCAAATCAAACAATAGCTTATAGGAAGTCGGTCAAGCCTGTGGTAAATTTTTGTTTATGTTAATTTTATGGAAAATTACGAACCATTTGCATTATTCTTTTTTATGCGAGGAACTGTAAGTTACTTTAAAATCCTCGCTGCCACGGATTTGACCTTTGTTTTGTTTGTTATGCGTTTATATAGCTCTTGTAGGTAAATTAATTTAAATTCTAAAATTTAAATTTATCTACATTAATATTAATACTGAGGTCAACATTTTTTAAAATTGGTATTTTGTTGGAACACCATCCGTCGATATTTATTGTTCAAAACTACTTTTCTATTATTAAGTATTATCATTAAAAATAACAGCAAGTTATTTTAAATTATTTTTATATGATACTACTTATAGTTTTTTTATTTATAGTTAATTGCCAAAAATATGCACTTTTATTGATTATTTACTACACGAACGCAATGATGGAGCCTGATTGGAGTAAAATCTCGTGTGTCCGATTTCAATAACGGCGGACTAAATCAGGTGCACCCAATTCGTTCGCGAACATGCCGTCTTGTACTTACCATATTACGCAATAAATAATACACAGGCTGCTTCGAAAAGTAAAAGTTATGCAAAGTTGGGGCCATTACGGAGGATAAAGGAACAGAGTTTAATGGAGGCAATTAAGCCACTATAATTTCCGAAAGGCCGGCTGCTTATTGCCAGTAGTGATCCCGAGCAACAGCTTAAAAACGGGCACATTAACATAAATTTATTGCATGGATACAGCGGTTCAAGAAATGATTTAGCTTGGCGTTAGCCATCGGCCTTTTTTCCAGACTTAACGCGAGACAAATAACTGTCCATTTGAAAGATAAAATACTTATTTTCGTCTTAGCATGGTCTGTTATCAGATGTGGCTGGATAAAATATATGCAAAATTAGAAAATGTTGGAATTTTTTATTCTAAATTAATTTTAAATGCAGTATGTATAATCGTCCAAGGTATAATCACTACAAGACCAAAAAAATAGTTGCCCTTGAAATTTTTAATATTAAATTTATACTTTTTCGAAGTTGTAATGGATACACTGCATTAAAAACTGAATTTGGAACAAGAAATTCCTACCTTTTTTTCTGTTTTACCTTTCATTTACATTTTCCACTTTTCTATTTTCGTATCGCTAAACGCCACGTTAGTCCTCACTACATTTTTTCAATTCCAATCCATCCCGACGTTTACATATCGCGAGTGGGTCGAAGTTTACAAAACAATAAATCAGCCCGTGGTTATTTTGAACCGGCAATCAAACTATTAAATGTAAAGTAAACATTGTTTTCCCGACTCTGACGCATTGTGTAAGTGCTGTTGTAAAGTCGACACAATGCCACATTGAGCGGGTCAGGCACCATTAGCGAGCAGCTTTTGCATGTCGGCTCGGAAGATCAAGGAAATTGGAACAGCTGAACGGCTCTGCCAGCAGCTGTGTACATCCAGCAGCCAAGAGTTGGGTCTAATGCATTATGTGCAATATATGTATACAACAATATCGTTTGTTTTGCAAACGTAAGGGAAGTTCTAGGCAAACGCTTTCGTCCTTGACTTGTACTCAAGGGCTTCGTTGAGACAATATTGTAGTCGTGATGGCTATAGGTACACTAAGTTCAAGGAAAAGTTCCTAACTTTTGGGCATCAGTTAAAACGAATAATTTTTCTTCTTTTTACCAGCAGTAGAAGGGGTAGCTTCAGCATTAACCGTAAAACAGTAGTAGAGTAGCATCGGCATTGTTCAAAATTGTCTTCCCAATCTTAAGTTTCTATTGAAGAGAATCTTTGATATATCCTTCAGCTAAATATGTACTTCGATATTCCAACTTCCGAAATGATTCAAAGGATAATGATTGATGCGCCAGTCTACTAACAAAGTCGTTGTTGATCTGGATTTTCTAGTTTCAGGAATCTGGCAATATTTTTCTTGTGTACAGTTCAGAAATAGTGTGATTGGACTATTGTTCACCTAAATACAGTCTGTCAAAAATCACGGAAAAATTTCGGAAATTCTTTTGACCCTTTAATTTTTTGCTTTAGTGTATTTGGTCTGTGCTTAATTATGTTTAAACATAAAAACTGTTCTTAGTAGTAATGTTCGCTTGTATGTACTCGTATATACTATAAAATGTCCATTAGATTGATTTCTCAGGTATATTCTGGTAACTCCCATTGAAAAATTCTCGAATATCCTTCTTTATTAAAACTGTTTCCAGCCGGAAATTGCCTACTCCATATCTTGGTCGTTAAAGTTTGTGACCTAAATTCTAATTCACGCTCCCCCTAAAAATAGAGCACAGAGAATCTCGGGATGTGTGCCACCTACCTAAATTACTAAATTGTAGTTTTGGGGGAAAATGGGACTAAAGCATATGTAAGTAATAATCACTTGTTTAAGTCGGAAATAATTTCCTATTTATCTAATCACTTTTATATAAGTGTTTAATATTACAATGTTTAAGTGGCAAAAACAAATGGCTATTTCAAATATTCTTAGCGACATCAATGTCCCAAGATAAAGGAAGCTTATATTCGGCTTCAGCTACTTTAAATACTTCCTCGATACCGAGTTTTATTGAATTGTTTTAAAAATCAAGGAATTGTCCTCGGAATTGTCTTTAAAAAATGAGACATTTTGTTTTGATGGT